ATCAGAATCTATAAAAATGCTCCAAAATGTCTGTCCTTTATTTTTTTTTTCTTTGCAGGCGAAAAAAGGCAGGCAACTCGGTTTAACAGGATAACGTTTGGTTTTCCCTGTTGTATGTTATATTTGAAGTTAGCAAGTCTTGATCGTTAAACATATTTTAAGTTCATGTGGCTAACATAGGTTCATAGGCAATTTTATGCATCCAAGTCTCAGTTCAAGTTTTTCTTTGATGTAGAAAAAATATTGCTTTTTTTCCCCAAGTTTTGCGTTTTTAAAGAAAGTTAAGGTTCAGTTGTTAATAGGAAATGGTGTCCATTTTTTTTTGGTTTTGTCCATGTTAAGAGGGTTTTTTTTTTTTGTTTTTTTTTTCATTTTTCTGTCTGTTATACTTGTACATGTATTTCATTTCATATTCACTGAAATATTCTTTATTTTAATTTTAGTCACTGCTCTTTAACTTTATGTTGAGATTCTTATTTTTGCAATTTGGAACTTTTTTTGCATCAGTATTAAGTTACTTTAAGTGATGATTTTATTTTACTTTAATTTAGCTTTCCAGATGCTAGTCATGACTCATGATTTTGTTTTGTCCTTGTTTACTTTTTTGTTTGTTGTTTTTTTTTTGTTTTTTGTTTTTTTCAAATATCTTAGTCTATTTTATTCATTGACTATTTAAAATTATTTTTATTTAAATGTATTATGTTTAGGACATGCTTATAATGTTTTATTTGTAATTCTATGTTTTATTAAAAGTTTTAGTGATGTCACGTTGTTTGCTCGACACAAAATTTTGACGTTCAACAAAAGAATAGCACTGTGGAAGTTGTAGTTTTACGTGGTGTGACGCGACAAAACGTCCCCTTTACGGCACAATAAACTACAATCACGCAGGCGCACTTTGTTGACCTTCTTTTGCTGTGAAGCATGGCTACCCGGGCGCTTACAAAAGGTATGTACATGAAAACAGTACTTTCCTGTGTGTAGAAAGCTTCATGTTGGTGTCCTAAGCCTTCTAATTAGGAACACTTTCATCCTTTTTTGAGCTTTGGTTTCTCCTGTAAGCGTTGTGCGACAGGACAGAACAGGAAACTGTACAGCTACTTCTAGTGTGTCAGTTTTCAGTCTTTCTCCTTTTTCTTGTCCAGTATTAACCTTCATTTATGCCTTACGTTCAGGTCTGTTGGGATTGCGCCATGTTCGGGGTCCCACAGTTAAATTATCCAACAGTGGACATCAGTTTGCCACCGCATCTTCCATTATATCACCTGAACCGCAAACTTGCTCCGTCAGAGGTGAGTTTCTACCTGCTAACAATGTCTGTACGCATAACATTTTCCCAGCTAAAGCCCGTTTTAACCATTCCAGATAAAATGCTGGATCTACCACTAGAGAAACAGGATCTTTTCCGGGTGTCGGAGCTGTTTACTGTGAAGGACTTGTTCGACGCCAGAGTGCATCTTGGACACAAGAAGGGCTGCAGGCACAGGTTTGTAGGATGTGATTTTTCTGTAGAATATAAACCTCGCTAGAAACCCAATATGTGACTTAGGCATGTAACGGTACAGAAACCAGTTGGATTATCTGTGTTGTTTTAATGTTAAATCAAGTAAATGCAGAAATAAGTACTTCAGCTGCCAGTCTTTTGGGGGTATTTCTGTACCAAATTTGCACGGCTTTTAAGTTCTTCAAAATAGCTCAATAAAGTTTTCCCCAAAATTTACAGTTGAAATACGTTTTAGGCCATTCTTAATCTGATGTAAATCATTCAGTACTAGCCCAGGTTGTATGTTGTCCTGCTAAAAATGAATCTCCTCAGTTTTTCTGTTCCGGGATTTCTCCATACAACTTCCTAGCAATGCTACTGACACTGACACATAGCATTGTGCGTGAAATTGGCTTGTTGCTAACTGTCAAGGGTAATGCTAGTGTGTTTCTAGTAATATGTTATCAGCTTCCCTACTGTTCTGTAAGGGCCTGATTTGTGGGATGCATGACCTGTCATCAGATTTTCACACCTGAGTTCTAGATTTCTGCAGCTCTCTCTCATTTGAAGAGAACAGCCATCTTTTTGTCAAATGCCTCGTACTCTTTCTATTATTTAATATGGATTGAACTGACCTACATCAGATGTTCAAAACTTGCACAATTGCTATGTAACTTAACTTTGGTTTAAACACCTCCAGAACTTCCTCACTGACCCGACACCAACACTTTCAAAGGTTCTTACTTGTAGAAAAAAAAATGCTTGATTTCATTTCCTCTTCAAAATTATGCACTACTTTGTGATGGTGTATCATACAAATTGTCATTGTGTCACAAAAATGTAGTTTAGCCAAGTGACTCTAATCTACTGTTGAATGACCATCATTTCGGCCATTTTTATATTATTAAAATTCCTCATTGGGGAACATTTAGAGTACCAACGGGACATACAATATGCTGAAATAAAGGGGCACAAGCTCTTTTTGTGGTGTTTCATGGCTTAAATAAATCTACCTGTCCTCCTTAACAGTGGCGTTAAATGTCCCTTTTGTTACCAAAGCAACCATGCAGATCACCTCGGAAACACATTCATGAAACTAATCTGTTCATTTGCAATTCTAGTATAGAAGACAGACCTGTTTTGAAAGCCAAAGCAATTCCTTGTTAACTTCCCAGAATGATTGTACAAAGTCACAAAGTGCTTTTTGTACAGGAGAAAGGAACCACTTCTGTCCTGACCTGAATGGATGTGTACAAAAAATAAAAAGGAGCGCATGGCTGAAAGATTGCACACTGTGTGTTTGTGTAAATGAATAAAAGAAAATCCACTTGTGACTAACATGAAATTAAAATTAAACAGTACGAAATGACAGGATGTTATTTTATTTTTCATTTGAAACCAAGTGGAGCTTCTTAGAATGTTAAAATATGCAGAGCATGGCAAAAAAAAACAAAAAAAAAAAAAACATTCATACTCAGTTATTTAGATCAGAAAACATGGCTAAAAATTAGCATTAGCTTTCTAAAAAAAAAGTTAAAGTTTTTTGAGTGTTTCTCATGACGGCAACATGCACTCCTTCCTCTAGGCTCATGGAACCTTACCTGTACGACTCCAGCTTGGACTACGACATCATCGACCTGGACAAGACGGCGGAGGACCTCCGGCGAGCCCTGGACAAGACGGCTCACACCGCGTACGGCGGCGGCATCATCCTCTTCATCAGCCGCCGCCGCCAGTTCTGCCACCTGGTGGAGAACACGGCCAAGCAGTGCGGGGAGTACGCGCACACGCGCTACTGGCAGGGGGGCCTCTTCACCAACGCTCACATCCAGTACGGCCCCGGCGTCCGGCTGCCCGACCTCGTCGTCTTCCTGTCCACGCTGAACAACGTGTTCCAGCAGCACGTGGCCATCAGGGACGCCCGCAAGATGAACATTCCCACCGTCGGCGTGGTGGACTCCAACTGCAACCCCAGCTTGATCACCTACCCCGTGCCAGGGAACGACGACACTCCGGTTGCCATGGAGCTGTACTGCCGCTTGTTCAAGACGGTCATCAACAGAGCCAAAAACAAACGAAAACAGATGGAGCTCCTCCACAGCCTGTCAGAGCCGTCGGAGCCCAGCTCATGAGTCGTGTTTAACGAGAGATGATGATGCAGTTTTAAAAAAAGAAGAAAAAAAAACAAACTGCAGCTCGTATTGTATTATAACTTCTTTCTTGCATGGTTGACTTCACAGGACTGTGTGTATGTTGCTCATTAAAAAGAAATCTTGTTACTGTAATAGAATTTTTCTCATAATTATTCAAGTCAAATTAATCACATTTCAGCAAAACGGTTCAAAGTGCTTTACATCATGAAAACATCGTACGGTCTCCAATTATGAAACAACCAATAAACATGAGATTTTGTGAAAGTCCATCATAAATACACATCAAACCTTTGATCAATGTTCCACTTACTATTAATCAAAGACAGATGTAAACAGTTGGGTTTTTAGCCATGTTTTAAAGGAACTCAGTTTTTTTTGTTGTTGTTGTTTTGCCGTTTTCTGAGAGTTTGTTCCACGTGAGAGGAACTGAATCTCCATGTGTGCTTCTGGTTCTGGGGATGCAGAGCAGACCACAACCAGAAGACCTGAATGGTCTGGGAGGTTGATACAATAACAGATATTCGATGTGTTTTGATGCTGAGCCATTCCAGATGACATCTAAGAATTCATGCTGCAGTAAATGTCTATTTGTTTTACAATTCCTCATTAATCAGATCTCACTGATTTATTTTCATCAAATAATAAATACCTAGTGCAAAAATGTCTTTCTAATAATGCATATAACAGGAGGAAAAAAATAAATCAAAGTTGAATATGTACTGCTGGAAGGATAGTTTGTCTACAAGGCTGTACTGATTTAATAAGTCATTGAAAATCTGCCTAAATTGGCGTAATATATGTTAGAGTAATCACTACAGCTTTAATCTAAGCAGATAACCTAGAAGATTTTTATTTATTTATTTATTTTTTTCAAAAGAGAAAGATTCTGAACTTTTTACCTAGCAAGATGAGTAACAGCTCTGGGATTTCAGTGATTTAAAAAAAAAAATTTTTTAGGTGGGGGTCGGAATGATGAAATAATATGCAATTTTATCAGTCCGGAAGATAGATAGCAATGTGAGACTTTCATGTCTAACAACACAAACCCACCTTACTGGTGGTAGCTGTATAGTTGGGCTCTGGTTTACCTCCAGAGGTACTGGTACAGAGTAGAATAAATAAGAGGCATAAATAGAACTTTACCTAAAATCATAGAGAAATGATTGAAATTTTGCCAAAAACTGATGTTCCCACATAAACACGTTATTTTTGGAGTGGATAAAGGAAGCTGACATTATAAGGTCTGGAATTAAACCTCTTAAAAATGTATTATTATTTTTGCTTGTTTTTAAGTCTGCTAAATTTAATTTATGCAGATATAGAGGCAAAAATAATTAATATTTGATCCTTGTCAGGTATAATTTTAAATTATGACTCTTTATGCATGTTGTTCTGGATTTAGAGAATTACTATAATAATGTATCAACGTTTTTGGTGTTTAATAGTAAAAACTAGGTGTGCGGCGTCAATGCTTGACTTGTCGCAACTGTTTGGTTGCTTCCGGCTTCCGTAGTTTAAACTCTGTTCTGTAACCACCAGGGGGCTGAAATATGGGCGAAATGACGGCGTGGTGAGTAAGGTCAGCGTGGTAATAAAATAAAGTTAACATTGCGGTTTTCCCCCCCCCCCCCCCCCCCCCCCCCCTTTCATTTTACAACAAAAAACACACCCCTTAAAAAAGGAAGAACCTAGTG